TATATTATTTATTTATAATAATACAGTAGCTTTTAGATAATTCGATAGATTTCGAACTGCATTTAAAAGTTCTATTGCTTTCATTGCTAAGTTATCATTGTGGTTTTAATTTCAAAAATTTCAAAAACTAATATATAACAAAGGGAGACTCACCCCTAATTACCACAAAAAACTTTTTGAGCAGACACGTGTTTCGCCCACTTCATACATGGGCATTATCAACGCGAGACTGCGACAGACCGTCTTTCTTTTTAATTTTTTAATTAATGTTTACCACAGTCTCCTCTTTCTAATTTTAATATACAACAATTGCGAATTTTTCGCAAGGTTTCACTTTTTATTTGTTACCGGTTCTAAATGGCATTTGTAACTTGATTCCAAAAATTTCATTAAAACTGCAGTGTGAAATATGCAGTAGCTACTCGACAGCATGAACATCGCATAACGGAAACACCCCCATAATGCGAAGGGCATATTAATTATACTGTCGTTGCCGTTCCATTGTTGTGTAGGTATTTTGAACTTTCCCAATATTTATTAGCTGGGAAGAACTTTTATTCTCGTATTGAATTAAAATAGGAGACCGCTTTCCTAAACAAATTCTGTACATATTAATGTGTGAAATGTCGCTAAAATAAAAGAACTAGAGTGCTTATACGGTGTTGCAAAATCTAAGGGTAAAAATAATTGACGGTAATTGTTTAAATTGAATAAATCGAAAAATATTAAGTAATTTTTTTAATTTTAATTGTACATGATATATTTATTTAATATTACACTATTATACCGACATCGAATTCAATATCTCCAATATTTCGAATCAAATTCCATATAAACATAGGTACTATAATCAATAACATTTATGTATATAACAATGTATTTATTAAAATAATTCGAAGTGGTCTGTATTCTGTCGAAACTGCCAGACGCGGATCGCGATTTCGATCTTTTTGGACTCATCAGCGCGCCGCAGGCAGCTCCGACAGAACACAGACCAACTTTTACCTGCTGTCTTAACAGCGCGTTTTAGAAAATACTACAAATGGCGCAGTAAACGCCTACGCAGCATACGTAATCCTAATGTAGCATCGTGCTGCAGATGGCATTTACTGCGCCATTTGTAGTATTTTGTAAAATGTATTTAATTTTTCATATACCAATCGAAAATTCAGTTTACAATAATTTCTCGTTTAATAGGTATTTTAAAAGTTGCAAACGTTTTCGACATTGAATAATTTATTAAAAAAATAATAAATTATTAAAAATGAATAAATAG